GTAGGGTCTCTATCAATCAATCAATCAATCAATCAATCAATCCATCCATCCATCCATCCATCCATCCATCCATCTGTGAGAGAGATATAAATATATGGCCTATAGTTTACTAAACATATTTCTGAAAGAGTTCTAAATTGTATATTCAAGTAAGAAAGCATACCTACAATTCTGATCTGTAAGTATACAACTGGGAAATGGAAGCTATTTTCTCATTTAAATTTTCTTTTATATGTAACTAGTAAGTAAAACATTAGTTGTGAGGGTGGTTATATGATTAAAATTGATAATATATGCCAAAGATATTGTGTGTACTCAAATGTGTTTTGGAATATGAATTTTATGTTTTTATAGTCTGATGCTGGATATTGATATTCAGCATTTTCACTGAATCTTTATTTATAATGAATTCTTAAATGTGTACCATAAACAGAATTGTCAATGATTAACTCACAACTAATGCTCTCACATTGCAAACTTACAACATTACCTATAAATCCATGAGTATTTTAAATAGTTTATTTAAATTCATTTTATGTGTGAAGGTGTCAGATTGCCTGAAACATGTGAGTACTGGGAATTAAACTCAGGTCTTCTCCTTTGGAAGAACTATCAGTATTCTTTACCACTGAGCCATTTCTCCAGCCCCTCATGAGTATTTTCAAGTGAATGTTTGTTGAAATTATTAAAAAATACTAAAGTAAGACTATTTTCTTTGGTATATATTAATTTAAGCCTTCTTATATAAGCATATATATTATTCATATATATTGTTAATGTGTTCTTACATAAACCATTTAATACTTATTAGCCAAAATGCTTCCTTCAAATACCATCTTAGTTTTGGAAACTAATGCACTGTAATCTTATGTTTTTATACAGCATAATGGATAAATCTTAGCGCCAGTTATCAAAGTACATACATACATACATACATACAAAACAGTACTGAAACAGCTGATTTTTGTTTAGCACACACAGATAAGTGAGTCAGAAATGTTACATACAAATATGTATTGCCCATTAGTATAAACTTGACTGATACAAACATTTGCTCTAGCATAAGTGTGTTATAATGAAAAATTCCAAATTACATTTAAGAAAACCATGTCTTTGTCTCATCTACTCTCTTCTCAATGAACACCTGTGGAAGGCAGTTAGGCCTATAAATTGATGCTTATATCATTTATTTCCCAGATTAAGTATAGTATCATTAATGGAGCTGGCAGAACACCAGTTACATTGTTTCTTTGTGTTTAATGAAACTCAATGTGTTGGAAATAATGTCATTTTTATATAAAAAGCCATATATTTTTATGAAATCATATTCAGAGCTCAAAATTGATTTGTGAATGCCAAGTGTGTTTACCCTTCTGAGAAAATCAGCATATCCACTGAAAAAAGACTTATTTTTAGCTTCTGTGGAGAAAAAATAAATTCTATGATTCTGTGGCTAGGAACAGAAAATACTAGAGTATTTGCAGTATTATATTTGAATTCTCATGAAAATTTTCTAAATTAAAAGTTTGATTTGATTTCCTTTAATAATAAATGACAAATAATGAAACAAATCAATACCAATTTTACATAGTTAAGTATTTTTTTCCACAAGTTTTATTAGGGACCATATACATTAATTCTATGTGCTGTGTCCAAATGTCTTCATATAACTTTGTATCAAATATTTAACAAGTATTCATGGAAAGTATGTCTGTCAGTCTGTCTGCTTGTCTTTCTATCTATCTCAAACAGCAATGATACTTATTAAACTTAGACATTCTAAATGTTTTCTGACATTTGATAGAATGTCTACTGGTAGCTGTCACTGTGCCCAGATGATCTGCTTTTAAAATGGCCTTCTCAATAAGCTTCTCAAGGTGTTGTAATGCTTTAATTCCAGCGCTCAGGAGGCAGAGACAGGTTGATCTATGTGAGTTTGAGTCCAGCCTTGTCTGCTGAATATCCAATGCAACATAAAGAGAAACCCTGTCTTGAGAAACAGAAGTGGGAGGAAGAGGAGGAGGAAGAAAAAGATGAGAATGATCTTCCCTAAGACATTTTTTTTTCTTCTAGTACACCTTACCTCTAAACATAAACACTGGGTCTACTTTCAAGCCACATGGTGCTCAGGCCTTCTGAGTTATCCTTAAGTTTTCTGTCTAAGCTGTGTGGAGTCCCTGAATGGTTAGTAAGAAGGAAATGCAACACTCGTGCTAAGCAAACTTAACACATTTCATTGCATGATAGTGTGTGGTGACCTAGTATATGAAATGTGTAATTATGGGTATACTATGGTTCCAGTCACTCCAATTCTTGACATGGTTTCATTGTTTCATATTAGCTTACATGATCATCACCACAGTGTATAATTATAAAACGAAGTTTAGGTGGGGAGTCATCAGTAACTAGTTTTCCTTTCATTAAGTTTTGCTTGTGTCTTTCAAAAGATACAGATAAGCATAGAGATTAAGTAGATGATGTCTGCCTACCTCTTTTGCTTCTTATTGGCTGTTTCTTCCTCCAGACTCTTCTACTTAGGTCAGTCCTCAGTTCCTCAGTGTCACAAAGCTCCTCCCAGATGCTGGCCATCTTAGACTCCAGTCTCCCCAACCCCAAACACACAGTAAATATCCTAGCCTCACTCTAAGGCTTCCTTAGGATTTGAGCTTTCATTGTGTTCCTTCAGATGGAAGGGTTTTGGTGGATCCTCATTGTGTCATCATTTTTCACATTGTTTAGTGAACAAAAATAATAGTAGTTCAGTAACTATTAAATGACAATTCCAAGATTATAGCACAAACTCCTGAACAATCGCTTATATGCCTGTGGTGGATGAGTAAGAATGCCTCCTATCCACTGTAGGTTCATACATTTGAATACTTAGTCACCAGCAAGTGGCACTATTGGAAAGGATTAGAAGGATTAGACTTGGTCTTGTTGGAGGAAGTGTATTACTGGAGATGGGTTTTGAGGTTTTAAAAACCAATGGCAGTCCTACGTACTCTGTCTCTATCTTTGTCCCTGCCTACTGTACATCAGGATTCAGCTCTCAACTACTTCTCTAGCATTGCCCTGCCATGCCTGCCACCTTGTTCCCTGTCATAATGAACTAAGCATCTGAAACTGTAAGAAAGCCCCATACAAAATGATCTTATAAGAGTTGCCTTGGTCATAGTGTCTCTTGGTACCAATACAGCAAAGACTAAGACAATCCCTAATAGTGATTTTTTAAAATGTGTTGCATTTAGTTTTTTAGAAGCCACAAAGTTGGGAAGATGTTAAGGTATTGTGTCAGGGAACCAAGGGAGAAAATTCAGTAGGGTGGATATCAACCTAATACATCGAATGGCTAAAATTCACAAATAATAAAAAATAGAATTTTAAATGTAAAAGAATTATCTCTTATGAGAAAATAATTGAGAATTCCAGGTATAAGATTGTAAAGACATCCAAATCTAAATAGATTTCTTGAATAGAAAGCTATATGCACTTGTCACAGTGATTTTTCACAGGCTTTTTGAAGTGAAGCATTTTTGAGTTATGATGTGTAGGGAATGACCATTATTAAGGGTAAATTTAAACCAATTTGGTAGGACATTTAAAAACTGAATCATACAGAAAGTAATACTTCCTTAGTTTGAATTAAATGTTTGATATTTACTGATGTAATTTGGAAATGTTTGGTGTGATTTTTAGAAACAGTTTTTTTTCTTCATGCTGTTGGACATGAGTACAGCTGCATAATTTGTGATATTTAAATACAAACGAGGACATTTTAAATAATTTTAATTCTTAATAGCTTATATTTGGCAAATAAAAATCAATATCCAAGAAAGAAAAGAGAACATAAAAAATTTCTATCAGCCAGCAAATACTTAGTGTTTCAAGTTAAGAAATCTAGCTGACAAGGTGGAACTCTGAAGTTGTTGTGTTCAAATTCTTAATCTAGGATGACTATGGACAATTGATGTCAGCAGAACTTACCCAACCAGGAGGAAATGTGTTTTTACTTCTTAAAACTGTTGGAACCAAAGTTGCTATTTGGAATGATGTATTCTCCATAGGTAATTGTTTACAGATTATCAGAAACTATTCACACAGGCCCATATTTATACATCAATTTTACTCTCCTTTTTAAAGAAGACAAACTGGGAAACAAAATTAGGTATTCCACCCCCACAAAAGTCAACCATCATTTCTTTAATCCATTCTGCAAAACTATGTTTCTATTCCCTCTGAACGTATGCAAGGAATATATGCATGAACAAGGCTCCAAATTCTAAGCCATGTGCCATTGTTTGCAGTTACCTTGGATCTTAACTAGATGTGCAAGTTGACTTCTGACCATGGGGAATCCTCTCCATGCATGGATTATGGATTGCTGAGGCCATGGCAGATAACCAGTTCCACAGAAGCAACTTCATGTTCTTCTGAGGAAGATCCATAGCACTGTGGAACAAGGAATATAAATGAGCAATGCCACAACAGACTGCAAACTGGGTTACCAAAATACAGCCCTCAAAAATGAACTCTGAAGGTGGAAAATCTACAGCTGCTGAAAAATACTGTTCAAAGTGCCCTCGGTGACATGAGCACTGGTAAGTATTCAGTGACTACCATGCATGCTTCTTAAACACGTGACAATAAAAAACTGTTTATTCCAAGCTCATTAAGCTGTGTAAATTTAAATGTTTTCTTGTTATTGCAAAAACTTTGAACTACCAAGTCTCAATTGTCTGAAAATGGAGACAGCAAATAAAAATATTCAAACTGTAGTAATAAAATATTTGGTCTTTAATCATTTCCAGTAAAATATATCTGAAATCTTTCCTGCCCCCACCCATAGTCATACACAAACACACCAATGTTTAAATATTTTATAGTGGCCAACGGAGGTGTTTACATTGATGTTTATTAATGGAACTCACTTTGGAATTTGTATTTAATAAGTTGTTAATTCAAATCAGTTCTATTTCATTTCTCAGTTCCCTTCTTGATGACTAATGGCTAATGTCCGGTACCATAAACAGATCTGCCTCTGGCACATTGGGAATTATTTGTTCTGGGCTTAAATAGTCATAGTTTATAAAGTTCTCTCTCTCTTCTTCGTCCCCTACTAGGACTGACAAAGGCATTCCCAGAGGCAAGAATTTGTCTTCCTCTCTCTGCTCTCCCTCCTGCAGCCCCTCCTCTTCCAACATCTCCTCCTCCTCTTGGTTCTCTTCTCCTTCTTCCCCATTGTCAGCCTCTTCGACTTCTTCCTCATCCACATCTTCATCCTCTGTCTCTCTATATTCCTCCTCCTCACTCTCCTCCTTTTCATCACAAACCTCGTCACAATCATCAATTTTTTCCTCCTCCTCCTCTACCCGCTGCGGGGTGGGAGACTGGATTTGCTGCACTGGAGCAGGACTTAAGATTAGAGAGGGATCCTGCATGAAGCCATACAGATCTTCCGGCAACTGCGAGTCTTCCTCGACGCCGCTGTGAGGCGTCTCATTGGCAGTGGAGCCTCCCGGGGTGGTGCCGCCCACCTGGGCTTGCTGTGCTCTCAACGCCGCCTGCTGGCGCTCCAGCTTCTCTTGCTGCCTCATGTCTTCATAGACCTGGTTCATGATGAACTGGGTGGTGTTCCTTGGCGCTCGCATCCCAGGCGCCCGCCACCCGTAAAGGTTGACCGGCCGCAGCAGCTTGCTCAGGTCTATAGGTGGGTTCCTCGGGAAGGAGCCACGAGGCTGGCGGCGCAGGCCACGGCCCCTGCGGCCCCAGCGCTTCTTTCTGCCCTGGGGTCTTTCCCAACCGGGGTTGCAGGGCCAGCACCAGCAGGAGCAGCAGCAGCAAAGGCAGAGTGGGAGCAGACCATAGGCCCGGATCATCTGCGCTGGGCACAAGGGGCTCTGGAAAGCCATCAGGGGTGGGTGCCAGTGCCCTCCGCAGCGCCCCCAGTTGGAGTACACGGCCCAGTAGGGCCGTCTGGGTGGTTGGAACCAAGGGCCAGGGCTGTGCTGTTGCTTGGGTTGTTTCCTGGTAGCCTCATACTCAGCTTTGGGGCCATTGCGGTATCGCCGCTTGGACATCTGAGAGCCCCTCTGCCTTCGATGGTAGGAGGACCAGGTGCGCAAAGGGATGGAGGATGCCCAGCCGCCGCCGCCCAGATTGAGGGGATCCTCCCTTTCGTTGACCGTCTGGGTCATGGCTCAGGGATCTTCACGAGATCTTAGTGGTAGTGTCCTACGAGTCCTCACTTTGGCCAGATCTGATGCCCAATCAGAAAAGCCTCCTTAGTTGGAGTCCCGAGGACCACGTGCTCGTGCCTGTGACCTTGTCTTCTGTCTTCACAAGGATCCCCCTCTTTCTTCTCCACTTGCTAGCTCTTCTTTCAGAATCACTGTCTTTCGCACCTGGGTTGTCTTGCCCAGGTGGTTTGGGTGGGGTAAGGATGGTGGGGGAGGAAGGTGTTGGTGGGCGATGAGCTGTGAGAGCCACTCCCGGATCCCACACACACCCGCCTCAGCTGAGGCTAAGGCTGGGGACGGGAGAGGCAGGGGGGGCTGTTACCAGGGTGGCCTGTTACCTTGCTCCTCCCTCTCAACCCAGGTGCTTCACCGTCGCCGTCCTGGCCGGACTGAATGGGGCCTGGGCAGTGGCAGCCTTTAAATACAGGCTGGGCCCCCTCCCCCAACCCCGCGTGCCCACTGCGTCTTTGGTTGCCCAGGACGACAGCCAATTGGGGTGGACATGCTGCTTTATGTGAGGAGAAGGGGTTCCTGCCAGAACAATTATCACATGAACATTCGCAAGGGGTCTTATGACGCAGGATTTGAGGCAGAGGTAAAGGTGGGCAATGCTCACACCCTGGCAACGCTTGGGGGGTGGGGGTATTTGAATTTTCCATCTTAAGTCTGTTGAGCGATGTTGGAATATGGACCTTCCTCTTCCGCATAGTGAAATCAGGAAACCGTGTATCTTCTCTACAGCTGTGTGGGCAGCTGCGGTCAAGGAAATCCGGCCCCCAATTTGTCCTCAGTCTTCTAAGTTCAGAAGTTAGTTTCATGGTACATGAAACATTATCACAAACATTTACTGGGGGTGCATCCAAGCATGTAATGTCCCTTCCTCTTCAAGAGATGGTTACTAGGTTTCACAGAGGCTGGAAATGAAGTGACTTTGCCCAAGGTCGTGGAGACTTAAGAACTTTACAGCTGGCCTTGAAACAAAACTGATCATAGAGATAAGTTCACATCACATAAGTTCACATAATTTTCACTAGACCCCTGAAGAGAAGTAATGGGTTACAAATAGAAAATACCTTATTCATTCTAATATCCACCTACAGATCTGCTGATTAAGCATTAGCACGAAGAATGACATGAATTTGATTTTGAGAATAGGTTTATTCTGGTTGGAAATGGTGTTTGACTCGGGTAAACGATTATGAATCAGATTCATCTTCCCTTGTAAGCTCTTAGGAAGCCTGGTTCTGTTGTATATAGAACACATCCCCCAGGGGTGGAAGGAAGACAGAAAAAAAGCAGATACCCCTAAATACTCAGTAACTTAACCATCATTTTCATATTGACTTCTCATACAGAATATGCAAAATACCTGGCTCAATGTCTGAGAAACAATAGACATTCCCACCCCCAGCCTTGTACCCATTTTTTTGGTAAAAACACATCAAGGAAACTTGATCATAGAGGAGAAAAAATTAAAATATTACTATCACGTTCCTGTGGTGAACAGAACTGTGGAAAATACAACACTGCCCACTGTGAATAGCAGTAAAGTAAATGCCAGAGGAGCAACATATGCAAAAATACTGCAGCCTGCTACGGTCAGTGTAAAAGGCATATTCCACAGATATCCTTCAATTCCACTTGTTCAATAGCTTGCTTGAGGCAGCCTACTTGACTCAAAATGCAGTGATGACTCTTTTACCCTCCAAGGATCCTCTTCTAGCTACACACTAATAAGCTTGGCAGACATTGTTACCATTAACTCAAAATGGCACAGTGCTAGCCAAGATCTGTTTCTTAAGGGACTCAGTATGATTTTTAAATGTAAAAAAAGAAATATATAAATAATATAATATATAAATAAATATAAATAATATATACTATTTAAATATATATGTAAGATATATACATTACCATAGTAAAATCCACATTTTCTAAATTTAAAGACATGTATCATTTTACCAATAATTTACACTCATCAGTTTTTGATCAGTTGATGTGACTGTTAGTCAAATAGTATCAGCATATTTTTACTAGTTGTATTGTCTACCAAAACATATTGAGTGAGTAATGTTTGCCCTCTTCTTAAGAAAGCAGCATATTGTAATTCATGCTTTAATATTTTCTTTTTCTGAATTCATTATTTTATTACATCTACTTTACTGTAAGCATATGTGAGTATATGACACATATGAGCAGGTGCCTGCAGAAGTCAGTAGAAGGTGTTGAATCATCTGGATCTAGAATTGCAGGCTACTCTGAGCTAAACCACATAAGTACTAGATGCTGAACTGTGGTCCTCTGGAAGAAGAATCAACACTCTTACCCACTGAATCACCTCTCTAGCCTCTAGGTTTTCAGATTTTTCTAAATTTGGGACAATAATATAAGCTTTTCTATATATTGGAAGAGGAATGTGACTATAGCACAAGGTGATTTACTGATACAATAAACATTAAAGTCAGGAGCATAATGGGGATTAGAAAAAGACATTTGTACTTCATTTATGAACATTATAAATGTAATAATCTGATTCAGACTTACAACAATGATATATTTGTGATGTCCATATATTGTTTTAGTTTTCTGTCTTTGTATAACCAAATCATGACAAATGAGGTTGCTTAAAGCAACATGAGTTTATATGTCAATTTCTAATTGTTAGGATCCCAGAAATGCTATAGTCCTTCTCTTTACTAAGGATTGACATAAGCAGAAAAGAAATGACAACTTTAGATTGCCTCTGGAGAAACCAATTTGAGAAAACCCAATGACAAGATCATTTGTTATTGGCAAAATTCACTTCTTTGTGACTGTGGCTGAAGATACTGTCATTTATCTGTTAACTGGAAGTTACTGTCATAACTCAAGGCCATTTGCAAGACCCTGGGAACCAATGTTAGTTACTTGCAACTATATAGAGTTTCTCAAATATTAAACCAATAAACAGAATCGCTTTAGTTCTTCCTAGAAATGGCTGAAAGACTCATAAGAAAGTGTTCAACATCCTTAGCCATCAGGGAAGAGCAAAACAAAACAACTCTGAGATACCATCTTACTCCTATCAGAATGGCCAAAATCAAAAACACCAATGACAGTTTATGCTGGAGAGGATGTGGAGAAAGGGGAACACTTCTCCACTGCTGGTCGGAGTGCCTACTTGTACAGCCACTTTGGAAATCAGTATGACAGTTCCTCAGGAAAATGGGAATCAGTCTACCACAAGATCCAGCAATTCCACTCTTAGACATATACCCAAAAGAAGCACATTCATACAACAAGTACATCTGTTCAACGATGTTCATAAAGCAACACTATTTGTAATAGCCAGAAACTAGAAGAAGCCTAGATACCTCTCAACCAAAGAATGGATAGAGAAAAATGTGATACATTTACACAATGGAGTACTACTCAGCAGAAAAAACAATGGAATCTTGAAATTTGCAGGCAAATGGATGGAACTAGAAGAAACCATTCTGAGTGAGGTAACCCAATCACAAAAAGACAAACATGATATGTACTCACTCATATGTAGACTTTAGACATAGAGTAAAGGAATCCCAGCCTACAATCCACACTACCAGAGAAGCTAGTAAACAAGGAGGACCCTAAGAGAGAAATACATGGTTCCCTGGAGAAGGGGAAAGGGTCATGATCCCCTGAGCAAATTCAGAGCACGGGAAGATGGGAGGGAGCTAGGAGAATGAGAATGGAAGAAGAGGAGGGATGCAGAGGACATGAGGGAGCAGAAAGGTTGAGTCAGGGGAAGAATAGAAGATAACAAGAATGGAGATACCATAATGGAGGGAGACATTTTAGGTTTACAGAGAAATCAGGCACTAGGGAAATGTCTGGAGATCTACAAAGATGATACCAGCTAACAATCCTAGCAACAGAGGAGAGGCTACCTTAAATGCCCTCCCCTGATAATGAGATTGATGACTGACTTATATGCCACCGGATAGCCCTCATCCAGCAGCTTATCACTGAACTGAACTGGAATCCAGATGCAGAGAAGGACAGGTGAAGAGCAAAGGGGTCCAGACCATTCTGGTGAAACCCACAGAAACAACTGACCTGAACATTGGGTAACTCTTGCTCCCCAGACTGATAGCTGGGATACCAGCAATGGGACTGATCCAGACCCCAGGAACATGGATTTCATTGAGGAAACCTCAGAGATCTATAGGACCTCCTGTAGTAGTTCAGTACTTATCCCTAGCATAGGTGTGGACTTTGGGAGCCCATTCCACATAGAGAAATACTCTCTGAGGCAAGACACATTGGGGTGGGCCTAGGCCCTATCCCAAAGGATATGATAGACTCTGATGACACTTTTGGAAGGCATCACCATCCAGGGGGAGCAGAAAGGATATGTGATAGGTAGGGTTTTAGTTGGGGAGGGGTGGTATGGGAGGAAGGGAGGGATAAAGGAACTGGGATTGTCATGTAAAACAATCTTGTTTCTAATTCAAATAAAAAAATCTGAAAAAAATAGTCACCAACATTTCACTTATTGTAGACATAAAGCATAAATATGATTATAATATAATTCATTTGAAATTTATGTTATCACATTTTCTGCTCAATAGCAAGATGGTTCTATAAATTATAAAATAAAAATTTGAAATGTTCTATATTAAGAAAGAAAAACATGTCTTGCATGGTGTGTGTGTGTGTGTGTGTGTGTGTGTGTGTGTCTGTCTGTCTGTCTTTCTGTCTGTCTGTCTGTCTGTCTGTCTGTCTGTCTGTCTGTTGCCATAATTATAGTCATGGCATTTGTGGAAATAAAATCATTGCTGGTCATCTTATACTTTGCTTAATAAGCATAATAAGAAAATCCAGTAAAATATATTTTATGTCTTCACTAGTACTCACTTTATTTGGACAATTTTGTGATGCTATACAGTGACATAGGTTGTCATGCTTTATGCTACATTTTCAATTGAAAACATGTA